TTTTCATCTGCTAGTTGGTGACCGAATGACAGAGGATAGGCTAAAATTTAGCAAATGGTCTTTTGTGTCCTAGCTTGGACCCTGATGCTAACTTCTACCAGGATGTGTCCTCTTTAGGGTCAGGACATAAAGGTAACCTAGACACCAACACACAGTAGATATTCTCTCCCCTTTCCTTGCCTTATTTATTGGTACAGGCGTTCAGAGACCGTGATTACAACTGAATGGCAGGAAGATGCTCCCGCTCAGGGTTGCTCCCAGAAACCCCTCCTCTCCCTCTCTGAGTACAGGATGGAGTCAGATTTTCCATCTTTGAGGTTCGCTGTGAACATGTGACTTGCTTTGGCCAATGCGATATGAGCATAGGTGACATCACTTCCATACAGAAAGCTTTTAAGAGCCATAGCAGTCAGCATCTCTAGGTGTTGCCGGCTCATTGAGGGCCACTGAGTGCAAATGCATGATGGGACTCCTCGCCCCGCCCCCCCCCCCATACTTCTCATATGTAGAAAAAAGGCTTCCTAGAGTCAAACCCCTTGGTTCTTCCAGCATGACCTAATCCTCTGGTGGCCCAAAGGAAAGCCACAGGTTAACAGGTTGCGGGTCTGTTGCCAGGCTCCCTCTCTGAAAACCTGCATCTGCCTTCTGGAATCCCAAGTCCGGGCCCTTCCATTCTCTCCTGCGAGGGGTCTCGGCGCTCCCCGTACTCAAGCCAGCCTTGAGTTTACTCCTTACTACTCACGCATTGGATATTAGAAATAGTCTTCGATATTGGTATAGATTTGTAGCTTACAAAACTATTCAATCGCAATCTTTTATCACTGGAGACATCGCTGGCCCTCGATCTAAGTAGTTTGAAATGCCAGGGCTTACGTGCCGTTCAGAGCTCTGAGGTGCACAACCACTACTAGAAATCTGCACAATCGTGGCCCGGATTGTCGCAGGCGTGGAAAGTGACCGCAGAGATTGTGGCGCCCCGGACCCTGGCTCCCCCTGCAGGCGGCAGCCGGAGAAGCAGCCGCGACAGGAATAACAAGAGGACCCGCCCTGGCGTCCCACCCGGAGACTGCGCAGCTGCAAGGTGGATGGCGCGGCCCCATCCATCCTCAGCTGGGCTGTTCTCCCGGAGGCTGACCCACCAGCGGATCCAACGGAAAATCTGGGGGTGGCCTGGGCCTAAAAGAGCGAACCAAGCCTACAAATTCCATTGTGTTTCCAGTCTCGGGGCTGTGAAACAGGAAAGGAGAAACGGGTCCCGCTTCTCAGACGCCAAACTGCAACATACTGCAGAGCATGCAGCCCAGAACCCCCGGCATGACCGGGGGTACCGGTACCGTTCTGGCCAAGAGAGAAAAGGCTGTGAACCCAGGGATCAACATCGGAATGACCCTGAAAGCTGAAATCCTTGAAATCAGTTAATGATTTGTAAATGAAATGGTAGATGATCAATGGACGACCAAATAGTAGATTGTAGCTAGGTGATAAGGTCACAGATTAGTGATGTATAGATGATACGTGATAGATGATATGGATGATAGATGATAAATAGGTAGATCGAATGTATATACATGATAGATTCAGATATAAATGCTGGTTAGATAATTCTACAAGCTTTCAAAATCAGTCAGCCTGAGTTGCCTTTTAGACCCAGCCTCAAAACACCACCACAGCAAAAGACATTGTTTTGTTTCATGTACTCAGCTGTCTCCTCGCCTTAACTCACCGTGTGTGTGTGTTTAAATAGCCTTCACTCAGCCCCACCCCACCCCGTGTGGATTTTATTGTTGGTTTTTGGGTTTCTGTTTGTTTAGGCTGTTTTTTTCCTAAGCTTATTTTATTTATTTATTTATTCATTCATTTATTTTATGTGAGTACACTGTCGCTGTCTTCAGACATACCAGAAGATCTCATTACAGATGACAGTGAGCCACCATGTGGTTGCTGGGAATTGAACTCAGGACCTCTAGAAGAGCAGTCAGTGCTCTTAACCACTGAGCCAACTCTCCAGCCTCTGGTTTTTTGTTTTGGTTTGGTGTCTTGTTTTTTTTGAGACAGGGTTTCCTCTGAGTAGCTCTGTCCTGGAACTTGTTGACCTCATACTCAGAGACACATCTGTCTCTGCCTCCCCAGTGCTGGGACTAAAGGGGTGTGCCACTACTGCCTCGCCTAGTGGCATCTTCTAACAGTCAGATCTGCTTCTCTGATGTGTTATCCCCAGCATCACATACACTGACTAGAGTCTTCATAAACACATGGTACTGTTGATTAGAGATGAAATGGACCCCCTCCTCTGCAGCGGCTGGGGGAGGATGGCCTTGCTTTGTCATAGAACCTATTTGGAGAACAAGTTCAAGGAGCAGAGGGGAAGACTGACACCCACAGACTGGTGCTCACTCCTGGACACCTGGGAACATGGCAGGCATTGCCAAGTGAGATCAGGTGGTGATGGCTATAGGCCCTGACAGGTGGTGGGTCACACGGGCACTTCTGCACTTCTGTTCCGTTGTATAAATGAGCACATTAGTTCCTTCAGTGCTGGATGTGGGCCCCAGCTGACTTGTTAGTTTATTATCTTATTATTATATTAGCTATTATTATAGAATGATTGGCTCTTGGTAGGGGCAATGACTGGAATGTAAATAAATAAAATAATTTAAACAAAAGAATGCTTGACTCACACATGCTGAATATTATGTAAATATTCACTGTTGCCAGGAGTCAGGGCACAAGCCTAAATCTGAGCACTTAGAAGGTAGAAGCAAGAAGATCGAGAGGATGAGGTCATCTTCCACTATGCAACGAGTTTGAGGTCAGCCTGGGCTATATGAGACCCTGTCTCAACAAACAACAAACAAACAAACAAACAAAAACAGTGGTCCAGGGAAACAGCCCACAGATAGAAGTGCTAAGCATGGTGAACCAAGCTGGATCTCTAGAATCCAAATGATGGAAAGAAATAACTGACCCTTGAAAGCAGCCTCTGCCCTCCACGCGTATGTAACATAGCCTGCATGCATGCCTGCATTCACACACTGGGATGGCTATTCTTGGTTGTCAACTTGACTCTTTCAAATGAGCTACAATGCAGAAATGGAGGGCACAGCCAAGATCCTGAGCTTGAGGAAGGAAGACACACCTTCACTCTGGGCCAGACCTGCTGGAAGCCTACGTAAGGACAGTGGGAGAAGGAAGGGTTTGCTCTGTCTGCCTGCCCTTGCGCTGTTCTCACATCCATTCCTTCGCTGCTGCTGGAGCAGTCTTTTGGATTCCACCATACATAAGAGACCTTGGGAGACTGAGAAACTACCAGATTTTTGGACTTTCCATTTGTAGCTCTGGCCATTGTTGGATTAGTTGGACTGCAGCCTGCAAGTCATTCCAATAAATTCGAGAGAGAGAGATGGGGGTGGGGGGAGGAGGGAGAGATTTATTCAATAAGTTCTGTGACTATCTAGAGAGCTCTGACTAATATACACACACATATACAAATAAATAGTCAGCATGACTTCTGTAACAAATTTCTGTCTGTTCTTTAAAATAGTACATTGAGGGGCTAGAGAGATGGCTCAGAGGTTAAGAGCACTAGCTGTTCTTCCAGAGGACCTGGGTTCAATTCCCAGCACTCATAGCTCACCACTATCTGTAACTCCAATTCCAGGAGTTCCGACAACCTTCATACAAACACATGCAGGAAAACACCAATACACATTGTTGGATCCTGAGATCCAAACAGGAAAGACGTGCTCCCACAGAAACACTCAAGGACGGGGGTTCAATGCAAAAGCAAGAGGTTTACTGATCCAGTGCACTGGGGTCCCCCCCTCCCCACAGCACATAGCCTAGAGGAACCCCCGAGCTAAAGCTGAAAGCAGTTTTTATACAAATTTTCACAGGGTTTACCAGGGGAGTTTTAAAATCACCTCTTAGACAATGTTAACCACAAAAGCTGACCTTAACCGGCCACTCCCACGCCCGGTTGTCTGGCAACTCAGATTTGTTCATTATCTTGTGACAATGAGTGTTAGCTAAGTCTATCTTATCATAGCTCCTGTTTACCCAGGTTTATTGCACTAAGGGCCCAGCTTTCTGATAACCTTTTACTTTTCTGATCTTGGGCCCCTCTCCTGGAATGTGTGTGTAAGTCTTTGGACTGCACTTCTCCCGGTACGTGTCTCTAGAGAAGTTAATTTTTAAGTTTAGGCTGAGACCTGAGATTCCTTGAACATAAAAAAGAAAGAAAAAGCTCTATTTTGCAAACTGGGTATGGTGGCACACATGTTTAATTCCAACCTTTCTGCCCTGGACGTGTCAAACTCTGACATCACAGGAAAATGGCAGCCAGGTTTGCCTCACCAGCTCCACAGTGCTGTAAAAACAGACTCCACAGAGAAAGACCTTTCACAGTGCTTGCCCTATTTGGTCTAAGCATTGAGTTACAGTGTAACTGTCACTGTACACTGTGCCTCTGGGCAGATAAGGGCAGAACCCTGAGGTCTCTGGTACCCAGGGACAAGTACTGGTCCAGTAAGTGTGCACTGGGCTGCATAGCCAGACACAGCAGTCTCTACTTTTTTTTTTTTTTAAAGATTTATTTATTTTACTCATGAGTACACTGTAGCTGTCTTCAGACACACCAGAAGAGGGCATCAAATCTCATTAGGGATGGTTGTGAGCCACCATGTGGTTGCTGGGATTTGAACTCAGGACCTCTGGAAGAGCAGTCAGTGCTCTTAACCACTGAGCCATCTCTCCAGCCCAGCAGTCTCTACTTTTAAGACAGATTCTGTTTCTTTGTCATATTGGCTTGTTGGTTTTGTTTTGTCTGCTTATTTTTTGCTTTTTCATACAAGGTTTCTCTGTGTAGCCCTGGCTGTGTTGGAGTTCACTTTGTAGACCAGGCTGGCGTCAAACTCACAGAGATCTTTCTGCCTCTGCTTCCTGAATGCTGGGATTAAAGGCATTAATCACCACCACCTGGATTTTTTTTTTCTTTACTACTTGTGACTGTGTGTATGCATGTATGTTGGTGTTTGGATATGAATGTAGGTGCCTGCAGAAGCCAGAGAGGTTGGACCTCCTGAGTTGGAATTACAGGTACTTGTGAGCTGCCTAAAATGAGACCTTAACTCTGATTCTCTGCAATATATGATCTTAACCACTGAGCCAGCTCTCCAGCCCCTGGGACATTTTCGCTTTTACTTAAACCAGCACACAACCCCCAGGAGCCATTTGTATTTAAAGACAAACCTGCTGCACATTGAGAGCTCATTGATTTAAAAAGGGAGGTTCTTGATTGATGGCTTAGGGTTGAGATCTCATGATGCTTATGCAGACGACCAGAGGTTCCCAGGCCCAAATTGGGCCACTTGCATCTGCTCGTAACTCCAGCTCCAAGGCTTCTGGTGATTTTGGCCTTCATGGGCATCTATATAACAGACAGTGGGATAAAAAGGAAGTTTACATCCTTAAGAAAATGTCTTAGGAAGGAAAAAGGCAAGCTGGGTCTGGTGGCACAAGCCCTTAAGCACAGCACTCCAGAGGCAGAGACAGGCAGAGCTCCATGAGTTTGAGGCCAGCCTGGTCCACTCAGTGAATTTCAAACTAGCCAGGACTAAGCAATGAGATCCTTTTCTCAAATAATTTTTCATGAAATGTGAAGAGAACAATCAAACGGAAGATAGGTGAGGGGATACAGTCAAGCAACAGGTACATAGATACCCGCTCATTGGGAACAGACACCTGCCAGAGAAGACAGTGTCACGGTGCCCCCCCCCCCACACACACACAAAGTTAAAAATAGAACCAAAGAAATGGTTCAGTTAGCGGAGTGCTTACCTAGCAGTCACAAAGCCCTGAGTTTGATCCCAGCATCACATGAAGCAGGCATGGTGGCACAGATCTGTAACAGAGTATTTGAGAGATGGATGCAGAAGTTTCAGGAATTCAAAGTCATCCTCAGCTACACAGTGAGTTCCAGGCCAGCCTGGGCTACTTGAGCATGTTTCATAAGAAAAGCTAAATAAAGTGACTATATGGTCTATTGATTTCACTGCGGGGTATACACCCCAAAGAGCTGGGAAGGAGTTTCAAGGAGAGGTTTTTCTACTGGCATTTGTAATTGCATTAACTCACAATAGATGAACTATGGAGGAGATCCAAACGTCTATCAGCAGATGAATGGAGAAGCAGAATTCACAGAGTGTATACTCGGCTCTCCTCAAACTCCATCCACCATCCACTGAGACCTTGAACAGTTGAACCTCCTGCCTCCACTCCCCACGCGTGGAGTTAACGGCTGGGAAATGAAACCAGGGTTTACTAAATACTAGACAAATATTCTAAGCCTCAGCCCCAACCTCAGCCTGTATTTGCCATTAAAAAAAAAAGTTGGGCTGGATGGCGGTGGCACATACCTTTAATCCCAGCACTTGGGAGACAGAGGCAGGTGAATCTATGAGTTCGAAGCCAGCCTGGTCTACAGGGCAAATTCTAGGATGGCCAGAGCTACACAAAGAAATCTTGTATCAAAGAAACAACAAACAAACAAAAAATTGTGCAAAGTATTGTTAAGGTCCAAGAATCACTGAAGGAAGACCTCAGACTCAAATGGTATGCATAGGCAAAGAGTGTTTATTCTGAAGAAATTACCATCATTCAGAGGTCAATCCCAGACAAAGGCACACAAGCCTTTATAGAAAACTAGAGAGGTTTTATCTAGGGTTAGGTAATCTAACACTTTAAAATGTGGGTTTCTGATAGTTTTATTATATTTGGGGAGGGGTTGAGGACATTCTAGGAACCTGAGTCAGCTCGAAGCTTACAGAACCATCCTATATTCAGAACCCCCCTCTGAGGAGCCCAATCTGCTTTCCTTGGAAACAGAAACTTTTTTTATTTTTTAAGGTTTTTAATTTTAGAAGACCTCTCGGTATGGCTGCACACAAACTTAACTCCAGCACTGGGGAGGCAGAAGCAGGTGGATCTCTGAGTTCGTGACCAGCTAAGTTCCAGGCCAGACAGAGCTACATAAAGAAATCCTGTCTGAAAAACAAGCAAAAGAAGGAAAAAAAGAAATTAGACACTTTCCCCAATATAGATGGACACTAAGGACATTGTGCTGATGAAAAACAGCCAGTTACAAAGTGCTGGCTAGTTTTGTATCAACTTGACACAAGCTAGAGTTACTTGAAAGGAGGGAACCTCGATTGCAAGAAAGCCTCTTAAAGATCTGGCTGTAGGGCATTTTCTTAATTAGTGGTTGATATGGGAGGGCCGAGCCTGTTGTGGGTGATGCTATCCCTGGGTTGGCTAGCCTGGGTTCCATAACAAGTGAGCCAGGGGGAGGAAGCTCTTGCCTCCAGGTTCCTGCCTTGTTCGAGTTTCTATCCTGACTTCGTTTGATAATGAACAGTGATGTGGAAGTGTAAGTCAAATAAACCCTTTCCTCCCCAAGTTGTTTTGGTCATAGTGTTTTGTCACAGCAATAACAACCTTAAAATACACAGAAGCACAAGTGACTTACTGCACTTGAGATCACAGAGACAGAACGGAGGGAGAGGAGAGCTAGCCTTAGTGGCTTTCCGGCTGGAAAGAGTCAAGCAAATAAATATATTTCTGCAGATTACTAATCTGTTTAATACAGCTTTCTAGAGATGGCAGAAAAGCACTTGAATGCACTGTTCGCTGTCATTACCTATGGGGAAATGAACAAAGAGTACATAACAGGCACAGTGCAGCGTGCCTGTGATCCCAGTCCTGAGGAGGCCCAGCCAGAGGGATCTAGAGTTCAAGTTCAGCCTGGTCTACCTAGTGACAGTGTGTCTCAAAAAGCAAAGCAAAGCAATAGAACAACCTCACTATATCACTATAAATCCATTGGTGGTTAAAATGAAATGAGTGACATCACCAGATGCCAGGCAGGGCGTGAAGGAAATGAATCAGTCACACACTGGCACGGAGAATACAAAAAGGCATAGTGATTATAGGAGTATTTAGTAATTTCTTATTAAACCAAACACACAGGGGATAGGGAGATGGCTCAGTCAAAAACTTGCAATTTTTCTAGGACTGTCACTGGAACCCCCATTAACAGGAGAAGGGCACACACTAAGACCCTTGTGCAAGGCAGTGGTTTCCAGGCTTACTGATAGATTAAACGCCATCCCAGGCATCTCCGGGGCCATCCCATCTCTCTTATCAAAGGATAGAGGACAGGCTGGAGAGGTGGCTCAGTGGTTAGTTAAGAGTACTTGCTGCTTCTGCTGAGGGTCCAGGTTCAGTTCCCAGCACCCACATTGCATCTCACGAGCACCTGTAACTCCAGTCCCCAGGGATCTGATGCCCTCTTTTGAATGGTATATACACATAGGTGCAAGCAAACGATCATACAAATACATACACTAAAGAAATAAATACAGTAACTGGTGCTATGTCTTTCATTCATTTCTTATAACATTTTGGACATTTGCTAAGTTTCTTACATGTAACGGCCCGTTCTGCTGCTCCGGTCCGCAGGTCAGGGCCTAGCAAGAGAGAGAGAGTGGGGACGGAGACGGGAAGAATGGAGACAAGACAGGGAATCTGATCAAGTCTCATCAAGTCTCTCCAAGTCTCTCCTCAAGTCAAGCCTCGCCTCAAGTCTCACCTTTGTTGAAAGGAAATCCTGGGTATATATAAGCACAAGCAGGGGACCGCAGCTGAAGACACTTTACCACGTGCACCCTGCAGCTGGGGGGAATAAACAACAAAACAGGATACGTAAGAAAAGCAAGATACTTATCAGAGTGTGCTCAGCTGTTGTGGGCTGTTGAAAACAAGTCTCTTGTCAGGGTATATGGCTCGAGATGGCTGCAAAGATGATAGCCGCTTTCTGCTCAGAGTCGGCTCCCAACACATAAACCACATTTTATCTTGCCAGCAGTCCCATAAGGTAGTTTTTTTAAATGCCTGTTTATAGATGGCATATCAGACTCAGGGATGTTAAATAAATCACCAAAGGCCACATTAAGAAAAGGACAGAATTCATTCCTTGGCTGCAGTACTGGTGTTGTTACCACTATGTCCTCTGGCTCCTTTGGATCTGGGTTTGGTGCATTTTCTGGATCTACTCTTGTTATATTTTCTTTTTAACTGTGCCTACTTCTGATTGAAGTATAATTTCCCGTTAATGCTGTTACATTGTGTCCATTTGTTTGCCAAGGCACACGCTCCCCTCCCCCACCAACTTCAACAAGTTTGCCTTGTACAGAAATAGGATAACCTTCCGCCAGATGGGGGCACTGTGACACGCTCGCACTCCAGGAACTGGCGACTGTGCCCAGAGCCTCCGTGGAGAGCACGGAGTCACCTGCACACATGTATCCAAACCCACGTAAGATTACTTGATGCCTTGCGCATGTCTTCCTCCAGAGAACGCTGGGTGAACTTCAATAGCCAAAAGCGTGCGTGTGCTTCATTTTCCTGATCCACGCTGCCACCCTCGAGAGACACAGGTCTGTGGGAACAGCAAAATCATTTATTTCTCTTTGGGCATCGGTCTCCCTCATCTGCAGGGGATCGAGCTGGGATCACAGGCTCTGCTGCCAACTCGGCCACCTGCTGCTGACTGATCCTGAGCCACCAGTGACCCATTTGAGGTTGGGACCCATCGATCTCAGTCTAGCTCCACACCTGGGGCAGTTGGGAAGAATGCCAGAGGTGAAGGATGCCAGAATCCAAGGCCACAATTAGAAATGCGAAGCTAGGCTGTCCCCTCCCCTCTTAAGCCGAAGGGAGAGAATCTAGGAGTCCCCACTCCTTCACACCTGCAGAGTCAAACCCTTGGTTCAACTGGCAGCTTTAGCTCCAAGCTCTGGGCACAGGTTGGTCTAGGCCGGTTGGATGGAGACGCCTGGGGCCACTCTTGGGACGTCTGTCCTACCCTCACCGCACTCAGTACCCGTGTCTCTCTACAGTCAGTTAGTTTCCCTTTCTCTTTGCGATCCCCGCGGGCCGCTGTCCAGAGGAGCAGGTCTCTGCCAAGCAAGGGCACAGATAGGAGCGAAGGTGGGCAGGAGCCTTCTGGGCTTGATCGCCTAGAGCCCTCCCATTCCGGGAGCTGAAGCAGGAAGAAGGTGGGGCCTGCATTCACAAGACCCGGGAGGTCACTCGCACTTCTGGGGTCTCCCAAAGCCAAGGCCTGTATACAGGAAATGCAACCCCAGCGCCTGGGGCCCAGAGCTGAGATGGAACCAGTCTGCCTGGGATACAGCCATCGCATACCCTATTCACCGATCAGGTACCGCTGGCCCCGCTCCTCCAAAATTTTCACTGCAGTCTCTTCCTGCTGGCCTCCATTTTGCTACGTGCTGAGCCTCTCCTCTAGGTCCCCAGCCCCCGACTCCTCCCTCACTTTGTCCAGGATACTCTGTAGTTCCCACTCTCCTCGAGGGTTTCCTCCTGCTCTAAGCCACTTCGGTTGCATTATAGCTGCTTCTAAACTGGCCACCCTGCACCCCTCTCCACGCTGCCTATATTTCTTCCTGTTGAGACTCCTCCTCAGTCTGGGGCTGTTCGTCTGTGGATCTTTCTGCTGATCCAAGGCTGGGCTATGCGTCAAAATTTAAAGAAAAATCCATTGAAGCAGACTTTGGACGGTCGCGTTTGGAGAGGTTTCGATGGATGTTTTAGATAGACTATCCTGTGCTGTTTTAACCCAACCTCGGGGAATGCTGAGAGAAGAGGGGACCACTTTCCAAGGAGATGTGAACCACCTTTCCAGAAGTACCCCCCACCCCCCCGCGCTGGCAAAGGGTGAAGAGAAGTTCCCCAACACACCCATTGCCTCGATGGTCACAGTGACTTCTCCGAACCACACCATTCAGATCTCATTTGAGAAAAAGAATAGGGGGCGGGGTTGGCACTGGAGAGAGATGGCTAAGCAGTTAAGAACTTTTGTTCCAGCAACACTCCCAGCAAACACATGGTATGGCTCACAACCACCTATAACGCCAGCTTCTGGGGGTCCAAGGCCCTCTTCTGACCCCCAGGCTGCCCAGCATGCACATATTAACTCATAACACGTACACACATGTATAAACACCCAACGTCAAGAGATGTGAGTGTATTTTAAACCTACATATAATAAGAAGAAAGTTATACCCCGAACTGCCTACTCCCTTGGGTGACACTCTGATTTTTGTCCCCTCTCCTGGTGCCTGTGATGCCGAGTAAAGAATTCTTCAGTTTATAGCAAGTGTAAGGCAAAAAAGATAGATTCAGTGTCTTGCCAAGAAGGCAGAGTGAGAGTGGACAGCAAATGGAGACCATTGTCCCATATGCAGCCCAGCCGCAAGTGCAAGCAACTGTGCCTGAGTGCATGCATGTGGTGGAAATGCAGGCTTTAATTTCAAAGTTAGTACCTTTACTGGCTGAGCCATCTCCCTGGCTCATCTTTAGAACAGATTCACCTTTCCCTGAGCAACTTTGTTCTGACCAGTGATGGATAGACCTGTATAGGGAGAGCAACGACTGCCGAATCACAGAATAGTTATGTCTTCAGTCTTCAGCAGAAAGCCCCTCCTGGCCAGCCATCCGTCTCCAGGATTAGGGCTCCTGAGGCCAGTTAACGGCAATTATCTGTTAATAGCCTTGTCCCATGTGTGGCCTTGTAACCAGTCCCAGATGTCACCTCTCCTTCCACAGTCAGAGATAAGCCTCAGATCCAATTCTTCCGACCAAGGATTGATTGAAGTCTGGCTCTTCCAACTCTTTTATTCTAGGGGCTTCTGGCTGTGAGGGATGGGTCCAGTTTGGTGCCCTCCAAGGCTACTGATACCTAACCAGCTCTGAAGTAGGGGATCCAGACTCTGTCTCTTGGTTTTTGGTTGTTATTATATTGTGGAATTTTATTGTGGTGGCAGTGGTAGTTTGGCTGTTTTGTTGTTGATGTTGTTGGTTTTTTACTTTTTTTGTCCTCCACTCCACTCCACCCCACTCCCAACAAGATTTTGCTATGAAGCCATGGCTAGCCTGGCAGGACTCAATCTTGGCACATCCTCTCGTTCCTGCTCATTAAAGGCTATAGTGTCTTCCTCAGGTGCTTTGCACTTTAATTTTTGAGCTAGAATCTTTCACTGAAATGAGCTTGTGGATTCCAGCGGGCTTGTCACTCACGAGCTCTTGAGATCCTCCTATCTCTGATTCTCCAACTCAGGGTTGTAGATTCACAACCCCCACACTTGGCTTTTACATCTGCCCTGAGAATCAGGTCTTGTGTGAAAGCGCTTTACTGACCAGTCATCTCTCCGGTCTCATTTCCTTGATTTTTAAAACCTCCATCCCACGTGGAGGTGTCCCGCCTGGAAGGAGCAGCAGCCAAATGCTGAAGAGTCTTGGACCTTTCGTTTCCTCAGGGCTTACATGTTCTCTGGTAGGCCTGGGAGAAGCAGCGTTCGGCCCAAGTAGGAAGGCACCCCTCTGGTGGCAGGACTTTTCTCCTCTTCATTCTTCCTGCTTGGAAAGACTCCAGAAATTGTCAAAGGTTCAGGGAGTTGGGGGTGCCTCAGGACTTCAGGGGCCTTGTTCGGCTTGAGATCACTCCAGAGCACACTCTGAAATTTCTGTTTTCTCTCTTGTGCCTGCAGAAACCCAAAGAAACCGATGAAGAAGTTATCTCAAGAAACATTCTGGTTCCATTTTGAGAACCTACAGCATGCCCAGGGCCGAAATAATACCTTCTTGTGCTATGAAGTGAACAGAAAGGACTGTGATTCACCTGTCTCCCTTTTCCAAGGGGTCTTTAAGGAAGAGGTACTAGGTTGGGGATGTGGCTCAGTTGGTGGAATGTTTACCTAACATTCATGGGAGTCCCGGGATTAATCCTTAACAGCACAGAAAAACAACAACAACAACAACAACAAAAAATAGGCATAGTGGCACACACCTGGGATCCTAGCACTCAGGAAGTGGAGACAGGAAGACTGGAAATTCAGGGTCATCCTTGTTTATATAGAATCTGAGGCCAGCCTGGGTTGGGTGAGATCTTATCTCAATAAACAAACAAACAAACAGTAAATAAATACCAAAGGCCTGCAGAAGTAGCCCCAAGGATAAAGCACTTGCCACAAAAGCATGAGACTCAGAGTCTGGATCCCCAGAATCCATGGAAAAGTTAGGTGGGCCTAGAGGCTAGCTATATTCCTAACCTATGGGAGGCAGAATCTAGGAAACCTCAGAGCAAGCTAGCTCACAGGGTTAGCTGAGTCGGCAAGCTCTGGGTACCATGGGGGACCCTGCCTCACGGTGGAGAGTGAGCAAGACATCCAGGGTCAATTTCTAGCCCTCCACAAGCACACTCACGAGCACACACACATGTCCCCACCATGGGCACACACACACAAAAAAAAAGCTAAATAAATAAATGGCCCAGGTCCTTCTTACAACAGGCAGAAGCTAAGCCCACTGAGAATGCAGAGGCAGGGTATGATGGCACACACCTCTACTCTTACCCCTCTGGAGGCAGAGGTAGGTATATCTCTGTGCATTTGAGGCTAGCCTTGTCTACATAGCCACTTCCAGGCCAGCAGGAATACCACAGTAAAACCCTGCCTCAAAAAATAATAATGATGCTGGGCAGTGGTAGCCTATGCCTTGCAGCACTTGGGAGGCAGAGGCAGGCGGATCTCTGAGTTCGAGGCCAGCCTGGTCTACAGAGTGAGTTCCAGGACAGCCAGGGCTATACAAAGAAACCCTGTCTCGAAAAATAAAAACAACAACAATAATAATGATTATTTTTATTATACAAAAAGTAAAGAAATAAAAGTAAGATGACCACTACAATGAGGGATAGCCCGAGTCCCTGCCCTGCCTGTTCTGGAATCTGTACTTGTCTTCAAAGGCAGGGCAGGCACTCGGAAGCTTCAGCACATTGGGCATCCAGCACCATATCTTGCCCTAGTGCCTTCTGGGTTGGTCTAGCCTCTTCTCCCCCTGTGCACTTTAAGTTTCTTATAATATTGTGTTATAAGATGACAGGGACTATACTCCAGCCTTCCTACCCCAGTCTGTTTGCCTACCCCACCAAGCCTGCCTGCCCCAGCCTGGCTAGACTCTGGTACAAGACCTCTTATAGCAGCTGCGACTTGTGGCTTTGATGAGTACCAACCCTGCATTGACCATATGAATGTCCTAGCACATCTGACAGGATGGGTGGGGTGAATTTTAATGACTTACTTAATCTAACATGAATACCATTATTTCACTGATCAGTCAATATAGAATTCTACTTAAATAGTCAACACACACACACACACACACACACACACACACACACACACACGGTATTGAAATGGGATGTCATTCTATAGCTCAAGATGGCTTCCAACTCCTTTTAATCCCCCTGTCTCAACCTCTCAACTGCTGGGATTACAGATGTGGGCTACCATGGCCCAAGTCCTTTTCTCTTTGAAATGGGTTGCACGAGGCAGGAATGGCGGTGCCTATAACCTCAGTACTCCTGAGGCTGAGACAGGAAGGTCAGGAGTTCAAGGTCACCCTTAGACACAATGAAACGGACACACACAAAGAAATAAAACGAAAATAGCCTGTCATGGTGGTGCACACCTCAAGTCTCAGCACTTGGGGAGGCAGACGCAGGCAGATCTCTGAGTTCAAAGCCAGCCTGGTCAACAGAACAAGCTCCAGCATAGGCAGGGCTACACGAGGCAGAGAAACCCCGTGTTGATAAATAAATAATAATAATAAACTTTAAAAGGAAAGGAAACGAGATGGCTATGTGTTGCGCATGTGCTGAAAATGGATCCTCAGATGAGCCATGTTTCAAGGACTTGGTAGCTGCCCTTGGTCAGTGGTTCCTTCAGGGATCTTCTTAGCCCATGTCCTCCACAGCAGATATGGCACACAGGTAACCAGCCGATCCCCCAGTGGATCTGGCTTCAACAGGGCTCAGAGTGCTAGTGAGAGGTGATGCTGAGAGAAAGTAGACTTAGTACTAAACCCTGGATGGTGAGGGATTCGGAAACTAACACAGGAGAGGGATGGAGACACCCAGTGGAGATCCCCTCCACCCTCCACCCTGCTCCTCCCTTCCCAACACGAGTTCCCCTTTCGCTCCCAGGAAGACAAACACGCTGAAATCTGCTTTTTACACTGGTTCCGTGACCAAGTACTGACAGAGCTGCCCCCGGGGGAAGAGTTGAAGGTCACCTGGTATATATCCTGGAGCCCCTGTGTCGATTGTACTGAGGAGGTGGCCAGATTCCTGGCCACACACCACAACCTGAGCCTGGCCATCTTCTGCTCCCGCATCTACTACCCAAAGAAGCAGAACTACCAGCAGAAGCTTCGCAGGCTTGTTCTGGAAGGAGCCCAGGTGGCTGTCATGGACCTACCAGGTAAGGGTGGGCACTGGCGCCATCGGAGGGCCTGTGGGTCTGCCATACAGTGAAGGGTGTGTGCCCAGGGAACCAGCCTTGAGGGACTGTGGAGACTCCTGATGGGCCCTAACTGCCTTCTCTCTTCTTCTGATTCAGAATTTAAAAAGTGTTGGAACAAGTTTGTGTACAATGACGGCCAGCCATTCAGGCCTTGGGAGAGCCTGCGTAAAAATTTTAGGTTCCAGGATTCCAATCTTCAGGAGATTCTCAGGTGAGGGGCTTTCTCATGCCTCACTACCTTCCTTCTTCCCCCTCCTTCCAGACCTCTTCTCTCTCTGGGGTGTCTTTAACCACAAGGCCTCCCAATCCTGTAACCTGGTGTCTACCATCTTTGAGTCTCGCTGGAAACCAGTTGGTTTAATCTAAGCATGGAGACAGGAAGGTAGGGAAACTTCATCAAGGCAGTCTTGAGGGGCTGGAGAGATGGCTAAGCAGTTAAGAGTACTGACTGCTCTTCCAGAGGACCTGCGCTCAATTCCCAGCAACCACATGGTGGCTCACAGCTGTCTGTAACTCCTGTCTCAGGGTTGCTTCGCACATACATACACGCAGGCAAAGCACCAATGCACATAGAAATTAAAAAAAAAGAAAAAAGGGCAGCATTGGATGCCTAGAGGAAGGAGAGGGGCTATCAGAGCACCAGCTGCCGAGACGTTACCCAGCAGTTGCTCAGCTCGCCCACCGTGCTCTCCAGGTCCGAGAGGCTGGCAAGCAGTGTTTCCCGATGCTCTCCCCTGGCCTGTAGATGCTCCTTCTTGCTGGGTCTCTGTGTGCTGTGTGGACCTTCCTTTCTACCGTCCCTCTCCAAATTCCCTCTTCCCATAAATCTGGTTTTGACCTTGACTGAGGAACCACCTAAGAGGCAGGCCTCCAAATACTGGCTCCATTCTGAGTCCTGAGGCATAGGGGCCTTGAACTTGGATTTCTCATGTGGCTAAGAGGCTTCTTTGTGGATGGGGAGCACAGAGTCCTTGCTCTGGTTGCCAGCACCCCAGGAGAATCCTGACCGTACCCTGGTACCCTCTTCCATTTTCCAGACCTTGCTGCATCCTGGTTATTCACCCTCCCTCTCAAATGTCTGTCTTATAAAACACCTCGAAGAAACAAGGTTCTGGGTGGGATGCCGGTGAGCCAAGGAGACTGGGGACTGAACAAAACGAGTGGCAGGGTACCGTTATGTAAGAGGCTGGGGGAGGAGGGTTGAAGAACTAGAGGGTAAGAGTAGAGCAGGCTGGTAAGGTGGCTTGCTGGGCCACACAAGCCTGTGTCACACAAGCCTGTGTCATGACTCTGGTCCTTGGAACCCACATAAAGGTGGAAGGAGAGAAACAGCTCTACAGAGTTGCCCTCTGACCTTCACTCTTAGCCCATGGCAGGTGAACACCTACATCATACACACACACACACACACACACACACACACACACACACTCGCTCTAATAATAATAGCAATGATGTTGTTGATGATGGTGGTGGTGGTGGTTGTGATGATGATGGTGATAATGATGATAAATACATTTTGTTTTTGTTTTTTTTTTTTTTAAGAGTAAAAGGCTAGTCCAGAGGGATAGCCAGGGAAGGCATCTCTGGCAACTGGGCAGGATGGGAAGTAAGACCAGGAGGCAGGTATTTGGGGGAAGCTCAGGAGAGTAAGATCATAGGCTGGCCATGGACAATCGCCCTTGGCGTCCCCTGCCACCATGAGAAATAATATCTCAGCTTGACCCAGATGACTAAACTCTTCCTTGAGCCTCGGTTATGGCTGGAGAGGAGCCAGGGCAGGATGGAGGGTGAGAGGGAGGAGGAGGAGGCCTGCCAGGGACTCCTGTCCTTGTGAGAGCCAGGCCCTGAGGTGACAGCTTTCACAGACTTCTTTGTATTTTTTAATCTGAGGATCCTTGGTTGGGACTTGCCAAAGCAGGCCGAACGCTTCAGGAAGGTGAACTTGAAGTCCCTGTCCTTGTATCTCAGACTTGGCAGGCTCAGTGGGAGTCACGTCTTTCCCATCCCCCACCCCAGTCCTGCTACTTTCCTGGGAACAATGAGGACCACAGAGGGGCCGCTGGAGGAGGAGGGAGCACAGCCAAGAACACCTGGCCAGCCCTCCAGCCATGTTGTTTATTTGCTGTGTGACCTGGTGAGACAATCTGAGACCTCTTCTGAGATGGCCCTCCATTCCTGTATTGTTGGGGTGGCAGATAGGGCGGAAGGTGTTCCCTTCTCCAGGGCCCGAGATGAAATCCTGTGCCCTGAACCACACTGAGTCTCAGTTAGGGGTGAGTGAGGAGGGCTCCTTCTGCCCCTCCCTGTTCCCGTCCAGCTCTGCAACCGGCTCTCTTTCTGGCATTGGCTTCTCCTTTCCTTGTAGATCCCTGTTTAGACGGCATGAGATGACCTGTCTCCTCCTAGGCCAAGCCAGAGCATCCCAGGAAGGAGAGTAAGCCCGAGACTGAGCCTTGGGCTTGTACATTACTGTCAGGGTCTCAGAGACAGAGCTTACTAAGCAGGAAGTGAAGCCCCCAGACTGGAGGTCTAGGACCACCACCCTGCCCAGGATATCCCATAGGATGCTCCAGTGCAGGTGGGGGGGGGGGAGCTGGAGAGCAGAGAAGACAGGTGGGCAGGGCGCAAGGAGATTTTTAAATACGGAGGACCAACCATGGTGCATGCCTTTCATCCCAGCAAGGGGAAAGCAGTCTTATCTCTGTGAGTTTGAGGCCGCCCCGGTTCACAGAGCTAGATCTAAGACAGCCAAGGCTACACAAAGACACTCTGTCTCAAAAAACAACAAAAAAGTAAACAGGAGGGCCATCTTCCCGGAGGAGTGGATGTGGTCACACACGGCTGCTTTAGGAGCCCGGTCACAAACCGGGGACTTTCCCAGGGCCATGAGTCGCCTCAAGAAAGGGAAACAAAACCCCTAACAGTGCCTCTTGTAGCGGGGGAGGGGGGAGGTGGCTAGAACTAGCCACTTTGTATCTCCTCCCACCCCAGGTTCCTTCAGAAAACCCCACTGCTTGCCGGTTTCTGTGCTTTTAGGAGCCTGGCTTTAGTTTTGTTTTTTGTTTCTTTTATGTTTTTCATATGTATTTTTAATTTTTAAGTCAGTGTACAAAATAATGGGTTTAGTTATTGTATTTTCACAAATGTCTGTTGATGTCGTCAGCATGCACATGTGGGCACACACACACACACACCCCAGTGTCCTCTTGTTCCCTCTGCAGCTAGATGCTTCCTCACCAAGTCTGCTCTCTCCTCCTTCCGTCTGTCCACACAGACACACCTATTTGAGTGAGGAAGCGTGTGGTCTTGCGTTTCTGTCTGGCTTATCCGCTTGGCAGCAGGGTCTCCAAGTCCACCCATTTATCTGCAGAGCACAGGCTTTCTGCTTCAAGGCTGAGTAAAAAACTCTATTGTGTGCACAGCCCCGTGGTCTTCATCCATTCCTCTGTTGATGGACACACCCAGCCTGGTCCCATAGTTTGGCTTTTGTGGATAATGAAGGTGCCTCTGTGGCATGGTGACTTTCCTGTTAACCCTCAGGAGTGGTGTGTCTGGGTCATATGCTCTTTGAATTCTTGGTCATTTGAGACCTCCGTGCTATTCCATAGCAACTATGTTAGTGTATGTTCCTACCCACAGTGGAGGGGCTTCCTCCCATACACCCTTTCCCCCCCAGCATTTGGTGTCATTTATTTTTTTTTTAATTTAATGTTTTAACTTTTTTTAGACAGTGCCTCTCACCAGGTAGCCACGGGTGACCTAGAGCTCACTATGTAGACCAGGCTGGTCTCGAGGGCTGGGATTGCAGGCATCTACACTACCTTAATTTTTGAGACAGGCCATGAGTTAGCCACGTGGGTGAGGCAGGGGGCCGCAGCGCTGGAACCACAGCCCCTCCCTCTATAGCCAGCTTTTTCCGTGGGAGCTAAGGATCTACACTTAGAGCCTCAGGTTTACACAGTAAGCATTTCACCAACTCAGTGAGAGCCCGACCCTCAGTATGGCTTCATTTCTCGTTTACTAATTGGATAGTGGGTTTTGGTGTTCAATATTTTTTCATTTTTTTTTAATCTTTGACATATGAATCCCTTGTTAGATGCATGACTGGCAAAGATTCTCTCCCACTCTATCAGCCATTTTGTTTGTTTGTTTGTTTGGTTTTGGTTTTTTTGGGTTTTTTTTTGACAGGGTTTCTCTGTATAGCCCTGGCCGTCCTGGAACTCACTCTGTAGACCAGGCTGGCCTCGAACTCAGAAATCCGCCTGCCTCTGCCTCCCAAGTGCTGGGATTAAAGGTGTGCGCCACCACCACCCGGCGGAGAGCCTCAGCCCTTTTTTGTGCTATGTTTGTATGTATAGGTAAGTGGGTGCCATGGAGCACATATGGAGGAGGTCAGAGGACAACTTGTGAGAGTCAGATCTTTTCTTACATTTTGTGGGTGGGTGTGACCTTTCCCTCTAAGACATATATGTACACGCACACACGCACGCATGCACGCACGCACGCACACGCCCTATCTCCTCAAGGGCTCCAAGTTAGGAGAAAGAACAAAATGGAGACAAAATTCTCTAGTCCCCACATAGTGCACCAAATGCTACATGGGGATACACACACACACACACACTCACACATACACTCACACACACACTCACAGACACACATGTACTCACAAACACATACACATATACTCATAAACACATTCACACACAAACATTTATCCACAAACACACACACATTCACAGTCACACACAAACACATGCACACATACAAATATATATATACACATATGCTCACACGTACAGATACACTCATACACATACACACACAAACACAACACATACACACATATACACACACTCACACACACACACTCACAGATGCTGTTGACTACATAAAAATGAAATCTTTTTTAGAAGGACCCACCTAATGCCAGGTGTGGTGGCACAGAGCTTTTGTTTGTCTTGTTTTGTTTTGTTTTTTTTTTTTCTTTGTGACTGCCTCCTGCTCCTAAGTGCTGGGGTTAAAGGCCTGGGTGATCAGGGAACTTCTGCGGTGCATACCTTTGATCCTAGTAAAAGGGGGATCTCCATGAGTTCAAGGCTAAGCTGATCTACACGGTGAGTTTTAGGCTAGGCATAGCTGCACGGTGAGAGCCTGTGCTTAAAAACAAAGAATCTGCCTGGTGGCCACAAGCAAGGATGGGCATAAGTGGACTGTATACTTTTCAAAAAAAAGCATGGCCCTGGCAGTGGTGGTGCATGCCTTTAATCCCAGCACTTGGGAGGCAGAGGCAGGCGGATTTCTGAGTTCAAGGCCAGCCTGGTCTACAGAGTGAGTTCCAGGACAGCCAGGACTACACAGAGAAACCCTGACTCAAAAAACCAAAAAAAAAAGAAAAAGCATGAATCCTTGAGCCGTTGACTGTTGGAATAGAGCTGTCCATGTGCACTTTGGATGTTGCAGGCCCCATCAGAGACAGGTGTTCTCCCCTGGGTTCTGGCTTCCCTTTTTGGTCCTTTATCATTCTGGGTTTATAAAAGCATGGCCACGCCCATGCTTTTATAGTGGGGGAGGGGCTTGGCCTCACATCAGTCTTTGGATTACAAAATGTTACAGTCCAGCAAGCTCTGGCAAAGATAAGAAAAGTTTGGGGACTGCAGAGAAGGCTTAGTGGTAAAATAAAATAAAATAAAATAAAAGCCAACTGCTCTGGAAGAGAGACCTGGGACTCATACCAGGCAGCTCATAAATGCCTGTAGCTCCAGTCTCAGGGACTTTGACAGCCTCTTCTGGTCTCTCCCGGCACCCGCACACATGTACACATACCCACCTCCCCCCACCCAGCCCCCACATCATTACAAATGAAAGCTAAAATCTTTTTTGCAAAGAAAGAAGAGCCATTTCATTGATCTAGGACAATGAACTTAACCTTAGGCAGAAGGGGGGAAACGCTGAGGCTCGAAACCCTTAGACATTAACCTGTACTTGTCCTTTTGCATATGGAAGGTGTGTGGTCCCCCCTGAAAACATGGCTACCTTCTGGAGAACCAGGCAGGGCAGGGGTGCAGGCTGGGACAGAGACTGGCTTTTTAGTCTGGTGATGGCAGGCTGGGCCCACATGGTTTGGCCTCTTCACACTGTGACCTAGGGAGGGACACATCACCTCAACAAACCTCCTTGCAAAACAAACAAAGGGTTCTTTGTCCCCCCATCCTCCCCCCCCCACACACACATACACACCGTTTCTGTCTGTAATCTTGGGACTCAGCCCTTACCTGCCTGGTATTTAAGATGGAATGGTGCCCCTAGGTTTGACATTTATCCAATAGCTTCCCCTTCAGCAGGCCCATTTTTCCTTTTGAGAGATAAGTTAGAAGAGTTAGGACAAAAATGTGGCTATCCAAGATACCCCACCCTTCTTAGGACCTTAAGAATCTTACCAAACTTTACATGTGGTGAGTTGGTTGGTTGTTTTTTGTTTTGTTTTGTTTTGTTTTGTTTTAGATTTTTAAAATTTTTATATGTATAAATGTCTTGCCTGTACTTCTGTAAGTTCATCTGCATACACTACCCATGGAGGGCAGAAGAAAAAGCTATCAGACCCCTTGGAACTGGAGTTACAGATGGCTGCTAGCTACCATGTGGCTGCTGGTAACCAAACCTGGGTCCTTTGCAGGAACAGTGCTCTGAACCCCTGGAACCCTTCAGATGGCCCACCAACATGTGGTGACTTTGTAGATTTGAATTTTGACAGAGAAGCAGGAAAGCCAGAAAACAGAGGATTTCTAGACACGAGAGGGCAGGGATGAGGAAGATGGCACAGGGTGTGTGAGCATATTGCATTGCAAGCACAAAGAATCCCACTAGCCATATAAGAGAGCTGGGCAGCCGGGTGGTGGTGGTGCACGCCTTTAATCCCAGCACTTGGGAGGCAGGCGGATTTCTGAGTTCGAGGCCAGCCTAGTCTACAGAGTGAGTTCCAGGACAGCCAGAGCTACA